TCAGATGACCTGGATCGGAGGCGGCGCAGACACCGTCACGGACTCGGAGGCAACCTCCTGGGGAGGAGGAGCGGACGGAAGGCGAAAGGGAAAGGAGGTGATCCTCCTCCTCCTCCTCTTCCTCCTCCTCCACTTCCTTCTACTGGGGAGGACCATATCTTCACGGGAAGGGGGAGAGTAGGAGACTAGGGAGGCGTGACAACTTTCGTCCCCGGGAGGATAAGGGAGGGAGGCAAAGGAGGTAACGAAGGTGGAAGCGAGAGAGAGAGGGAGTAGAGGGAAAAACCAAGAGAGAGAGAGAGAGAGAGCAGGGGAAACATAGAGAGAGAGAGAGAACGATTGGGAGGAAACGCGAGAGAGAAAACGAGAAAGCGAGAGAGAGAGAGAGAGAGGGAGAGAGAAATGGAGAGGAATATACTGTACAACATCTAATTGGACAGGGAGAGAGGGAGAGAAAGAGGGAGAGAGAGGAGAGAGAGAGATGAGAGGAGAGGAAAGAGGGGAGAGAGATAGAGAGAGCGGACGAGAGCACACACCCACACAAGAAAAAGTTGACAATGAGACAAAGAGGGATGGATATCCTCGTCATCATAGCCATCATCATCAAGAACAATCATCAGGTTAAGACTGTTCAATATTATCTGCTCGCGTGCCACTCAACACGTATACCCCCGAACTCTCGATGCCCGCCCGCTTCGTCTTCGATCGTACCCCCCTGGGGGGTCTATATCTTCCCTGCCTGCCGCATGGAAGCGTGGAGCTGGGAAGCAAGGGAGGAGGGGCGAGACAAGGGGGGAGGGATACCGAGGGAGCACGAGGTACTCCAGATTTCGTAATAAAAGGGAGGGGGTCTGGACCCTCCAAGACAAGCCATTTCAGACCTCCCCCCGCGGGAGAACCCTCCAAAACATCGTCCCCAGACCCCCCCAGGCCCTCCAAGATAGCCTGGAAGAGACCCCCCCGAAATGAGACCCCCCTCCCTTTATTACGAAATCTGGAGTACACTTGCAGGAGGTTGGGAGCGAGAGCACAGGCGGCAGCACCAGACAGGTCGGGCGGGCGGGCCTTCGGGAGCGGCCAAGAGGGGGGTGTCCAAGAGGGGGGGGTGCAAATCATGACCGGCGGCATGTGCGCGGCCCAGCGGGGGGGCCAGGGACGTAATGAAATAAGAAGGGGCGCCATGAAATCTGGGGAAATATCATGGCCCACGCCATGATATCCGCCCCCCCCTAGTCACCACCCCCCTCTTTTCCGCCCCCGGTTCCAGGCCAATCCTGGGCCCAAGAGCCGGGCATGTGCCCTCCTGGCTTGGCCAGGGAGGCATATACACCGCTCCTGGGCCCAGGATGGGCCTGGCCAGGAGCAGTGGATATGCACAGATCTCGTCGCCCCAACCTTGCGGGCCCGAGTTCTCTCGTGGACCCGTGATGCCCGGGGCCCGCGGAGCTCCAGCTCTCCCGGAGGCCAAATGTCCGCCGAGAGGCTGAGCGCCGCAGAGCGCTCCCCGCGCGCGGGCGGTGCTGGCCACCGACCCGCACTGGGGATACTGCACCAGGACCCCAAGGGGCCTCCTCCTCCTCCCTCCTCCTCCTCCTCCTCCTCCTCCCCCTCCCCACCTCACTCCTCCGCATCCCCATTCCCCCTCCCACCACCCTCACCCTCATCCTCCTCTCCTCTCCTCCTACTCTTCCTCCTCCTCCTCATCCCTTCCTCCTCCTCTCCCTCACTCTACCTCCTTTTTGACTATCTCTGTCACCGCTCCTCTCTCCTCCCTCCCCTTCCTCCTCCCTCTTTGCCGCCCCCGAGACCTGGGCGGGCAGGCCCAGGTGGCCGGGGTCGAGCGGGCGGCCCCGCCGAAGCGTCAACACAGCACGAGCTGCAGGGAGGCCTCGAGCGACGGCGACCCCCAGGTAGATCGCGAGGACATCCCAATCGAGAGCGTGATTCCTCCTCCTCCTTCCCTCCTCTTCCCTCTCCTCCCTCCTCCTCCTCTCCTCTCCTCCTCCCCTCCCCTCCTCCTCCTCCCCCTCTCCTCTCCTCCTCCTCCTCCTCCTCCTCCTCCTCCTCCTCCTCCTCCTCCTCCCCCTCCTCCTCCTCCCCCTCCTCCTCCTCCCCCTCCTCCCTTGGAGGCACGGCGCCGCAGTACATTCGCTCCTCCTCTCTCTCATTTGGAGGAAAAGCCACACGAGAGAGCGAGTCCATCATAAATCTTGAGGCGGTGCTGCGCGAGCGCGCGGCTCTGAAAGACATCGTGAAGACATGCCAAGCGGGAGCCGCTGTTGTTAATGCTGTTGCTGTTGTTGATGTTGCTGTTGCTGTTGGTTGTTGCTTTTGTTGCTGCCGTTGTTGTTGCTGTTGTTATTGTTGTTGTTGCTGGTGTAGTGTTGAACTCTCATGTTTGAAAATAGTGATTGTTGATACCCCCGCCCGTCGCACATGGTATTTGTTCGATTGAAGGGGCTCGCACCCAGTTTTTACCACGGAAAATCTTGCAGGTCAAATTGTGTCGTTGGCCCCTGGTTTACAACAACAGCGGCTCCCGCCCGATACTTCCTCAAGGTATTGAAGAATCGCGTTCTCGCTTGGGACTCCCTGCGATGTACAACCGAATCACGGCTCCCGCCTGATACTTCCTGACAATTGATTGCAGAATCGAGTTCTCGCTTGGGACTTCCTCGCAACTGACCACCGAACCGCTTCGCTTTATACTTCCTAACAATTTATTCGGATGCCTGTCTTCGACACTCAGGAATCGCGCTCCTGCTACATATTGCCTGGCGGTTCAAGCAGGACTCACGCTTCAACGACCCGCCCGCTCGACCCGCCCGTCGGGGCCTGCCCGCCCGACCAGCACGTTAATGACTGCAGTCGCCGCTCGCTGCCCTTTGCCCTCCTTCGATGCCCCTCGCTGCCCGTACTGGTTCCACGGTCGCCTTCGCTCGCTGCCCTTCGTGGCCCCGTCGCTGCCCTCAGTGGCCCCGTGGCTGCCCTTTGTGGCCCCATACGCATGCCCTCCGTAGCCCCGCTGTCGCCCTTTGTGGTCCCCTCGCTGCACTTCGTGGCCCTTTTGCTGCCCGCAGTGGCCCCGCTGTCGCCCTTTGTGGCCCCGTATACGAATGCCTTTCGTGGCTCCCGTTCGCTCGTGCCCGTCGTGGCCCCGCTGTCGCCCTTTGTGGCCCCCATCGCTGCCCTTCGTGGCCCAGGGGCTGCCCTCAGCGGCCCCGTCGCTGTCCTCTGTGGCCTCGGATTTTATGCCCTTCGTGGCCAACGCTGGCTTTTCTCACGATGTACTTGATAATCGCGCTATCGCTCGAAACTTTCTCGCGATCCAACCCGCCTGCTCGACCTTGTCGCCTGGGCCCGCCTTCCCGACCTGCCCGCTATAGGTCTGCCCACCCGATCTTCCCGTCTGGTTCTACCACTTGTTGTCTGCTCCTTGACCCCCTCCTGCTAATATCTCTCGTGCTCCATTCTTCTTCCTCCCCCTTCCGGCCGTCCTCTCTTCCCTTGTTTTGGGGGCTGCGCTAAATGCACGTGGCAGGTAAGGAGGATATACCCCCAAGCGGGTACGATCGAAGACGACGAGGGCGGGTACCGAGGGTTCGGGATATACGTACTGATTGGCACGTGAGCAGCTAGGAGCGAACAGTCTTCACATGTTTGTTATGGTTGTTGTTGATGTTGTTGGTGGTACTGTTGCTGTTGACTTCTCATGTCTCAAGAGTAAGCAATCATTGTTGATCCCCTCTGCCCAGTAACCAGTGCATGTGTTCAATTCATGTGCTTCTCCCAGGGCTCGCACCCCTGTGTTGTACCTTTGAATCACTGTTGCAGCTCGAGGGGGGCAGGGGCCATGCAGAAGAATGGAGGACGGAGATGGGGAGGACAAGGGTGTGGATGAACAGGAGACGGATGAGAAAGCCAAGGACCGAAAGCCTTAGAGAGGGAGGACGACGACCACAAGCTGCCGAGGCCGGCGAGCGCCGCGAGGCCATCGTCTGGTCTGGCATGGCTGGACGCGCGGGTCCTCGAGAGCCCTCTCTCGAGGCGGCGCCCGCACTGGACGGGATCAGGGGAGAGAGGAGGAGGAGGAGGAGGAGGAGGAGGAGGAGGAGGAGGAGGAGGAGGAGGAGGAGGAGGAGGAGGAGGAGGAGGAGGAGGAGGAGGAGGGGAGGAGGAGGAGGAGGAGGAGGAGGAGGAGGACGACGACGCCATCATGCAAGGGTAGGGCAGCAGCGATCGCAGGCAGGGGAGAGAGCAGAGCAGCAGCCACACCGAGCAGTGGTAGGGGGGGGGGGTCAAGGTGCGGCAGGCACCGAGGCGAGCGAGCCCTTCGGGAAGGCCGAAAACGAACGCCAAACGACGATCCGATAGGAGGGGTGGGTGGGATGGGAGAACGGGAGGGGGGAACTGAGAGAGAAGGGGAGGAGGGACTGGAGGGACTAGAGGGACTGGAGGGATGGCAGGGATTGGAAGGATTGGAGGGGTGGGAGGGGGGAGCGGGCGGAAGGGAAGTGGGATGGGATGGGGAAGAGGCAGAGAAGCGAGGGAGGATGGGAGGGAGGGGGCAGGATGAGAAGGCGAAAACCCCCCGGCACCCCCAGTCCCCACCTCATGTCCGAACCCGCGATCCAGGGGGTCGGGACTGGGGGCGGGGGTGGTTTTTCGGGGTCCAGGAATAGAGAAAACCCACCCCCACCCCCAGTCCCGACCCCTCGAATCGCAGGCTCGGGGATGGGCGTCGGGACCGAGGGTGGGGGTGGGCTTTCGCCTCCTCACAGCGGGGGGACAGGAAAGTGCGCCCGATGTCCGATGCCAGGGCCTCTGGTCGGGGAGACGTAAGACTCGGGCACGGGGGACTCGGGCTGGCCCGACGGGGGCAGCCACAAAACTGACGAGACCCAGTCTGAAATTCGACGCGGCAGGAGAACCCAGAATCGAATCGATGTGTCGGATCGGCGATCGAAATGAATCGGCTCGGCGGAAATCGGCGGCCGAGTCGGGAAAAGTCGAATCGGCGGAAATCGGCAGACTAGTATGCCTCCAATAAGAAATCGGCCCCCAATCGGAATCCGAAATCGAATCGAATCGGAATCGGAATCCACCGAAATCGAATCGAATCGAATTGGAGTAATCGAAACGAGCCCTGACGCGGGCTCCCGCTGCAGACCTCCCACGACAACGGGACCGTCAAAATCCAGGACGCGCTCGTCAAAAAGACGTCGGCAAACCCAAGTTCCGGCGTTGCGGCCCGATGCCAGGGCCTCTGGAACCTGACGATGACAGCTGTGACATGTCACGGTGTCCTCCGAACTGGGGGAGCCGCCCAGCCACATACTATCACCCCTCACGCACGTTGTGCCCCGCGGATCCCCGAAGGCCCTGAGCTGGCCTCCAAGACCGCGTGATCCCCAATGGCCACACACACGCCCCAACGAAAATTGGTACCGACCCTCGTCGAGGCAATATCCCTTACACCTCCTGGTTGCAAAATATGAGTGCGCACTTCCCCCTGGGGGCCCACCGTGATTCCCAAACTGCGGGCTCAGTAATACAAATGATTAATCTGTGAACTTATGTCATCCTCACCGCAGGCGCGCGTTGAAGCGAGGCCAGTGGCACTGTTTCCAGGGCGTCTCGGGACGAGCCTCGTTACCGAACCCCGGCAGCGTTTTCGCGGGGGACGTCCTCGCCAGATCGGCCCCTGGGGCACCCTCAAGAGTGCCCCGAAGGAGGCGGAGGACAGGAGATGGCAAGAGAGGCGGGGGAGGGAGGAGAGGGGGGCGGCAGGGAGGAGGCTCTGCGCCAACGGTGAGAATGTACATTCTCGGTTCCGACGTCGCACGCCGCAAACACCACGTACAGAAATCCCAGGTGCATCGCAGAGCTGCTGACTATAATCCGCCACCGTGCCTGCACGGAGTGGGCGTGTTAGAATACTCACTTGTTGGCTGGGGGATTGTTTTTTATGGCTTCTGGGGCCGCCCCCCCCGTCGCCCCGCGCGTCGTCCTAAGACACCCGCCCCTGAATTTGCTCTTCGGCATTTTTCTTGGCCACCAGACGGCCGAGATGGCCTCCAAAGATGGCTTTCAAGAGTGCCAATGCGCCAAGAGGATATGGTACAAGAGGGCATAAGACGGCGCAAAACTGCCCAAGAGACCCCCAAGGCGGCCAAATAGGGCAACAAGAGGCCCTTCAGGAGAGCCCGAGGAGGCAGAAACCAGTGATTGTCACTCGATACTTGCAGAATTGTGAAGTTCTCGCCCGTTTCGGTCTCCCACCCAAGACGTCCCAAGAGGCCTCCAAGGTAGCTCCAAGCCAGCCCATGAGGCCGCCGAAGAGGGGCCCAAGTCGGCCAAAGAGAACCCAAAGATCGCCCACCAGCCTCCCAAGAAGACCTTAAAAGCGATCCAAGAGTGCACCAAGACGGCCGAGAGAGGCCCCAAGACGGCCTCCGGAGGCGTCAGACGGGCCAAGAGACCCCGAAGATGGCCCTAGAGGCCCTAAGAGGCCTCAAAGAGGCCCCGAGAGGCCCCCGAGGAGGCGAAACCACTGCTTCACCTCTACGGCTTCTGAATGTCTCTGAGGTTCTCCCCTGTTCGGGCTTTCGACCGCTAAAGACGGCCCAAAAAGGCATCCAAGATGCTCCAAGCCAATGCTCTCGAAGAGGGCCCCAAATCGGGCCAGGAGGACCCAAGTTCAATCAATACGGCTATAAAGCGCAGGACGTTTTCCCAGGGAGGCCCCCAAGGCCGCCTCCGAAGGCGTCCGACGGGCCAAGGACCCCCTAAGACGGCTCAAGAGGCCCCCAAAGGCCCCCGAGAGGCCTCCCAAACCCCCCAGCAAGCTCCCAGGAGGCCCCAAGAGAGCCCCGAAGAGGCCTTCTCCTCCTTCTCTTCATTTTATCCCTCTCCTCGTCCTCCTCCTTCTCCTCCTCCTCCTCGTCCTCCTTCTCCTTCTCCTCCTCTTCCTCTTCCTCTTCCTCCTTCTCCTCCATGCCGCACAGAATGCAGACTCCACGGCCCGCCACAATTCAGACTGCTCGCTTAACTGCAGCGGGGCATGAACTCTACTTCCCCCTACCGCGCGGACGAAGACGAGCTCGAGTTCACGAACCGTCCCAGTTCAGTCCAGACGTCGGAATTGAACTGTTCCTACACTGAATCTGCTTCCTGCTGCGCTGTTGCACAGGCAAGATGACAGGGCTTGCCGGAGGCACCTGGATAAGATGAATATCCTGACTTCCGCAAGCATCTATCCCCGAAATGCCGACCCCCTCTCAAGGAGCCTGCTTTTAGACACGGATTTGTTGTCGGACCGCAGATCCACCAAATACCCGAAATCGAAGAAAATCAAAAGCACTGAACAAATCACGACATGGGAGGTCCGGGCCGGGCCGTCAAATGTCGGACCCCAGACATGCCCCCTCGCGCGTTCCGACTAGAATTCTCGGGCCAATCCAGCCGTGGCGACGAGAAGCCTCCTTGAGGCCGACAAAGAGCGAAACTCCTCGAACCTCCTCCATCCTCGAACCTCCTCGGAACATCTCGACGACGGCGGTCCGCCGATGCCAGCCGTGTCCTTCCACTGCAACCAGATGCGCAGCGACACGGTGCCCAGGAGCAGGAATGTAAACGCCTTGGCTGGGGCGTCAGAAGGAGCGTCATGCGATCCACAGCTCAGTGGCGGCGCAGCTTACAGACAAACAGGGGTGTGAGCGCGGAGGCGTTCGTGGCTCCGCACCCTGGTGGAATCAACCTTTGCCACTGTCCGCAGCGGCTCGCGATAGCCAGGGTACAATCGCTGCAGATGCAGTCAAAATTCTCTTGACCCCTCTTGGAAATGGGAAGGGCTCAAGGCGAGGTCATGTGCATCGGGCCCGCAACGGCGGCCTTACCCATCGGTCGGAAACAGTGGGTAGAGACATGAAGTGGGAACGCGCTGAAAATAGATTGGGTTTCCGCCCGCCCCATTCGAGGAACGGAAATGGGAAGCCACTCGATGATTGAAGAGGGATGCGCCTGAAGTATACTAGGGCCTGGGAATCCCAAAATCCTATCTACTTTCGGCGACCGATGGGCACCGAGGGAGGAGGATCGAGGTTCGAGGCTCGAGGCTCGAGGTATGAGGATCGAAGATCGAGGATCGAGTTTTTTGTTCTAGCCATGCTGTGGTGTTGGCTCCTCGGTTGGAAGACAGTGCCCCGCGTTCCTCCTCCTCCTCCTCCTCGCCCTTCCTCCCCATCTTCCCTCCCATCTCAGCACACCCCTCACACGCTTCGTGGCCCCATAATATGTAAGGAGCTCCACCGAAGGCCCCGGTGACCGTGAAAACGCGCGTCCGCGCCACCCAGTACAGCGCTTCGTGGCCGCATATGGAGCTCATCCGAAGGCCCCAGTGGCTGTGACCATATGCGTCCGCGCCACCCAGTACAGCGCTTCGCGGCCCACCGACGGCCCCCATGGCTGTGGCCAGATGCGTCCGCGCTACCCAGTACAGCGCTTCGCGGCCCCATAAGGAGCTCCGACGAAGGCCCCCGTGGCTGTGACCAGATGCATCCGCGCCACCCAGTACAGCGCTTCGTGGGCCCATAGGGAGCTCTACCAAAAGACCCCAGTGGCTGTGACCAGATGCGTCCGCGCCACCCAGTACAGCGCTTCGTGGCCCCGTAGGTAACACCACCGAAGGCCCCAGTGGCTGTGATCACATGCGTCTCCCCCGATCCATTCCGGCACGCCCCTCGCGCGTTTCGTGGCCTGCCCCCAGGGAGCTCCACCGAAGGCCTCGCGGCGGTGTCCAAATGCTCCCCCCCCGCTCATGTCAGCATACCCCGCACACATCCCGTGGCCCCATAAGGAGTTTCCCCTCCTTCGTCCCACCTGCCGTGCGGTATTGACAATGCCCGCAGTCGCCGAGCATCGGCAATGTATCGGCGATGCGGTGCGATCCTCTGACCCTATTTGCTCGGACCCCATTTGGGAGGCCCCTAAGGTTCCCATGGGAAGGTCCACATGCGTCAGTTTGAGTAATTCCGGGACACCCCTCACACGCTTCGTGGCCCCATAGGGAGCTCTACCAAAAGACACCAGTGGCTGCACATGCGTCCGCGCCACCCAGTACAGCGCTTCGGGGCCACATAGGGAGCTCCACCGAAGGCCCCAGCAGCGATTCGTGGCCCCATAGGTAGCACCACCGAAGACCCCAGTGGCTGTGACCCCTTGCGTTCGCGCTGCCCAGTACAGCGTTTCGCGGCCCGACAGGGAGCTCCACCAAAAGACCCCAGTGGCTGTCACCACGCGCGTCCGCGCCACTCAGTACAGCGCTTCGTGGCCCCAATACCGAGAACTCGTGTGGCTGTCACCACATGCGTCCGCGCTACCCAGTACAGCGCTTCGTGGCCACTTAAGGAGCTCCACCGAAGGCCCCAGGGGCTGTGACCAGATGCGTCTGCGCCACCCAGCACAGCTCTTCGTGGTCCAATATGGAGCTCATCCGAAGGCCCAAATGGCTGTGACCATATGCGTCCGCGCTTCCAAGTACAGCGCTTCGTGGCCCCGTAAGTAGTACCACCGAAAGCCCCAATGACTATGATCACATGCGTCTCCCCCGACCCATTCCGGCACGCCCCTCGCGCGTTTCGTGGCGGTCTGCCCCCAGGGAGCTCCACCGAAGGCCTCGCGGCGGTGTCCAAATGCTCCCCCCCCGCTCATGTCAGCATACCCCTCACACGTCCCGTGGCCCCATAAAGAGTTTCCCCTCCTTCGTCCCACCTGCCGTGCGGTATTGACAATGCCCGCAGTCGCCGAGCGTCGGCGATGCGGTGCGATCCTCCGACCCTATATACTCGGACCCCATTTGGGAGGCCCCTAAGGTTCCCATGGGAAAGTCCACATGCGTCAGTTTGAGTAATTCCGGGACACCCCTCACACGCTTCGTGGCCCCATAGGGAGCTCTACCAAAAGACACCAGTGGCTGTGACCACGCGCGTCCGCCCCACTCAATACAGCGCTTCGTGGCCACATAGGGAGCTCCACCGAGAACCCGTACGGCTGTGACCACATGCGACCGCGCCACCCCGCACAGTGCTTCGTGGCCGCATATGGAGCTCATCCGAAGGCCCCAGTGGCTGTGACCATATGCGTCCGCGCCACCCAGTACAGCGCTTCGCGGCCCAATGGGGAGCTCCACAGACGGCCCCCATGGCTGTGGCCAGATGCGTCCGCGCTACCCAGTACAGCGCTTCGCGGCCCCATAAGGAGCTCCGACGAAGGCCCCCGTGGCTGTGACCAGATGCATCCGCGCCACCCAGTACAGCGCTTCGTGGGCCCATAGGGAGCTCTACCAAAAGACCCCAGTGGCTGTGACCAGATGCGTCCGCGTCACCAAGTACAGCGCTTCGTGGCCCCATAGGTCGTACCACCGAAGGCCCCAGTGGCTGCGATCACATGCGTCTCCCCCGACCCATTCCGGCACGCCCCTCGCGCATTTCGTGGCCTGCCCCCAGGGAGATCCACCGAAGGCCTCGAGGCGGTGTCCACATGCTCCCCACCCCCCCGCTCATATCAGCATACCCCTCACACGTCCCATGGCCCCATCAAGAGTTTCCCCTCCTTCGTCCCACCTGCCTTGCGGTACTGACAATTGCATATGGTTGGGTCCTTCTCCTTCGCCTGGATAATGCAGAAAGCGCTCTTGGCCCCTTTCGGGGCCTCCGGAGCTCTCCAGGTGGCCTCTGGAGGCCTCCGCTGAGGGCGAGGGCAGGAGGAGCAGGGGGCTGTAAAGAAAGAAGAAGAGAAAGAGGAGGAGGAGGAGGAGGAGGAGGAGGAGGAGGAGGAGCGTAAATCGTCGATACGTTCGATCGACGTCGGTGATCAACGTACAGTCGCGTCGACCGCCTCGATACATGTCGGTGTAAAGTGGAACGTGAGAAGAAGGAGCAGCAGCAGCAGCAGCAGCAGAAGCAGTCGCAGAAACATGCGTGTTGAGAGGGACAGCCAACCCTGACAACGAGGATAAAGAGCATGGAGGGAGGATCAGGTGTGTTAGGAATTCGCCTTCTGGGTACCAACATCCAGTGAGGGCCCCAATCACCAAGCAGTGGCTACCCTCCTGGAACACAAGGTGCAGGAGGAACGTGAAAGGATGCGGGAGGAGGAAGGAGGGGGGGCACGGAGGGAGGACGGTATGGAGGAAGGCAGGAAGGGACGAGCGGGGAGTGGCCTCCTCCCTCCTCCTCCTCCTCCTCCTCCTCCTCCCTCTTCCCGTCCTCCTCCTCCTCCTCCTCCTCCTCCCTCTTCCCGTCCTCCTCCTCCTCCTCCTCCTCCTTCTCCTCCCTCCAGCCATCACCATCCGCCTCTGTCTCCTTTGCCTCGGCCGCGGCCTACTCCCTCCACCTTGGCTCCCCAGCTCCTGCGTGTCGTCCGCCTGCTCCTCCTCCCCTTTCCCCTCTCCTCAATGAAAACAGCGAGATACAACCACCGCTACTCATCGGAGCTCTCCCAGGGTGCGTTTTGACCAGGACTTCGAAACGAATCCAGCCGTGGCGACGAGGGCCTCCCAGGAGGCCTCAGAGGCGAAGACGAGGCCAAGGGCAGCGGCATCGGTGCCTGGCCCTCCTCTGACCCCATTCCTTCTTCCGCCTCCTCCTTAGAGGCGGCCGGCACCAGCATCGACAGCAGCGACAGCGCCGCCATCGAGGGGCCGCAGGCCCCGACGTCCTCTTTGGACGCCCGAGATGGGCACGGAAAGAATGGGCACAATGTCCAACCACAAATTTTGTCCCGAACCAAGAGCGGGGCCGCTGTTGGGCAGGCGGCCTCCTGTCTCGACTGGACACAGGCCGCGGCGGCGCGGACAGCGGGTCCTGTTCAAAATGAACAGGATCCGCTGTTGGGCATCCTCCTCCTCCTCCTCCTCGTCCTGCTCCTGCTCCTCCTCCTCCGCCTCCGCCTCCGCCTCCGCCTCCGCCTCCGCCTCCTCCTCCGCCTCCGCCTCCTCCGCCTCCTCCTCCTGCTGCTCCTCCTCCTTCTTCTCCTCCTCCTCCTCCTCCTTCTCCTCGTCTTCCTCCTCCTCCTCCTCCTCCTCCTCCTCCTCCTCCTCCTCCTTTGTGCACATTCTTTCCGCGCCCGTGTCGGGCGTCCAGGTCCTCCGGGGCGGAGCTCCCGCCCGCGAGGCCGGGAAGCGGCGCCTCGCCCGGCCTCAGAGGCCTGGCGGCGGCGGCGATGGCGACGGGCACGGCGACGACGACGGAACGCTGGCGGCGACGGCGACGGAGACGACGGCGGCGGCGACGATGCTGTAACTGATGCTGATGCTGATGATGATGCTGATGATGCTGATGCTGATGATGGTGATGATGATGCTGATGATGATGCTGATGATGATGCTGATGCTGCTGGTGATGATGATGATGATGATGCTGATGCTGATGATGTTGCTGCTGGTGATGATGCTAATGATGATGATGATGATGATGCTGATGCTGATGCTGCTGCTGCTGATGATGATGATGATTGCTGATGATGATGATGCTGATGATGATGATGATGACGATGATGATGATGATGATGATGATGATGATGATGATGATGATGATGATGATGATGATGATGATGATGATGATGATGATGATGATGATGATGATGATGCTCCCTGTGGGGCAGTGACACGCGGAGGGAAAAGGCAGGGATGGGATTGGACGAGGAGGAGGGAGCGGGAGGAAGTGCGAGACGCGGGGCGCTGTCCCTTTTAAACGGGGACCCGACAACAGCCGATCCACATGGTACAAGGCGGCGGCAGCATGGAGGCACGATGCAACGGAGCGGTGCTGCAGTGACAGCCGATGCCTTCATGTCAGGGTCCCGAGGGAGGGATCCCGAAGCAAGCCTGGGAGCACCCACGGACGAACGCACAACGCCACGCCCAGCACCCGTCCGCGAGAAGCGCGATTCCCCCCCGCCCCTGCGCATGCTTCCACGGAACGGCTGGTGGTGGGCCGCCCGTGCCCTCGGCAACTCAGGGATGCCTGGGAGCCAGCAGACCTCGAGAACTTGTGGGGTGCCGCGGTGGTTCGGGAGGGCTCCAGTGCGCTCCCAGAAGGCTCGCCTGCGTCCAAGACTGCGGTGGCATAAGAGACGCCGTGTCGCCATGCCCCCCGTTGATTGGAGACGGTCTGGACACAGACTGAGCGACAACCAATCAAGCACCCTGCGCGTCGAAATGATGAGCAAGCGTAGAATAATCAAAATAATGCTGCGTGTTGAACGGACATACCGGTGTCACAACTTCGCCACGGTGCCTACCAAATCTGGATCAATTGTGGCATACATCTTTCCGCAATTATCTCCAAGTCGCATTCGCGCCTGCGCCTTGTACACGCCCTCCAAGCCAACAAAATCAGCGCAACTGGCGTCGAGCACGACACGAATCTTGCCGCTGGCGACAGCGGTAACAGTGGCTTCCACCAGCCGAGCCCAGCCCGGATAATCTGGTCCCGCTGGACTGAAGTAGCCAGTTAGAGTTTGCTCCCCGCGACATGTCCTCTTCATCACTGGACTCACTGGAAGCAAGTCTTGGTCCCCCCCGCGGTCAACATGAGATGAGATTCCAGAAACTGTGTAATCTTCAGACACGGCGCCGATGGAAACAAGAGTTCCGTCTGGAGCGAGAAGTCGTTGTGCGGTCCGCCCGATGTTTCCGCCCACTGCCTCGTAAACAAGATCAAATCCACGCGGAAACTCGGTTCTCAATACACTTGCCATGTCTTGTTCTCGATAATTGATGACGACATCACAACCCAATTCACGCAACAACTGTGCCTTGACACGATTGCCACAAATGCCCGCCACTCGGGCGCACCACTTAACTTTGGCCCATTGCACCGCAATATGTCCAGTGCCACCTGCAGCACCAGTAACTAGCACATGCTGCCCATGGGAAATCCGCCCCTCTAGTTCCAAGCCACCAGTGGCAGTGAGAGCAGAACACGGCACAGCCGTCCAACACGCAATGGGTTGTGGGACCTTGAACATGATCTGGACATTTGCAACATCTGGGCCAACCTTTAAAATCACATACTCTCGGAAACCTGAGCCATAACGCATCCACGCAACAGCTTGACCGACACGGAAGCTAGAAGCATCGACATCAGGACCCAGGCCAATGATCATGCCTACGCCCTCAAAGCCAAGGTCACCAGCTTGCACAGTCCCATCATAGAAAGTGGCGGGCTGGCTCTCTGCAAGCGCGCCGTAGCCGCCCGACATCTGAACAATATCGCTCGCCTCGATGCCAGCGGCAGCGACCTTCACGAGAACTTCGCCCGCGCCTGGGGCCACAATCGGCACCTCCACAACCTTGGCCGCTGTCTGAAAGTCACGCGACCCAAACTCATCGGGCCGCACTACAATCTTTCGGAAGGTCGACATTGCAGGTGGAGGATGCCCAATACTGAACGGAGCCCCACTGCGACCCGGCTCGAGCCAAAGGCGGCTGCAGGACAACCTCCTCAGGCACGGCCCCCATCGAAAAGTAAGCTGTCCCATTCTTGGAGGCCTGGAAATTGGCACCAACACCAGCACAGGGGTTTGCCTCCACAGGGAGAAGATGATCTCAGAATTCGGTGTTGGTGGTAATAGTTCGGTCACCCTGGAAGCCAGAATATTACCACCATCACCGAGATCGGGATCGTCTTCCCTCGGTGGAGGCACACCGCCGATCTTGGTGTTGGTGTCAATCTCTAGGACTCCGAGCATTCACCACACCACTCTCCCGCGCCCTGGACCTCGCCGTCCTTCTCCGCGACCTCAGACCGCAGCACCGCCGCGTGGGACCGCTGGCCTGGACACCGCCCCTCGGAGAAGGGCGAGCGACACGGGAGGCTCAAGACCAACTCTTGAGCAGGGACCGACCATCCCGGCATCCCTATTGTCCCACCACGAAATGTTCTTACTTAGAAACCCCAAAACATGTTCGAATCACAAACACAGCGTCCTTAGAACATGAGCCCGACGTGCTAAAACAAGACAGCCCCAGCCAGAAATGCTCTGAGAACATTTCGTGGAAACCACAAAAAATTCTTAGAACAGTGTTTGGCGGGGCAAAAAGGGGAGCCAGGACCCGGGGGACTCCCGCGGTCCAGTTTGCACCAGTTCTCCGAGCCGCGCCCAGCCGTGGCGACGAAGGGGCCCCCCCGACGGCCAACACCGGTGCCCCAAGAGGCCCCCTAAGAGGACCCCAAAGGAGGCCCCCCAAACTGCCCCCCAAGATCGCCATCGCTCGGACGTCCATTTCCGGTGCACTTTTCGGTTCCGTGCGCGTTTGTTTTGCTCGATGGTCCAGGATGGTCCTCGCCGAGAAAACATGCACACGTCCGCGCGAGGCCAGGCAGGAGGCCTCCCGACGGCCGCGTGGGAAGCCACCGGGAGGCGCCCCCCCCCCACGAGATCCCCACGAACCCCCCACGGGCTGCGTGCCCGCGGCCCACGGGAGGGGCCGAGGTCGTGGGAGGCCACCGGGAGGCGCCCCCCCCGCGAGATCCCCGCGAACTTCCCACGGGCTGCGTGCCCGCAGCCCACGGGCGCTGCCGAGGGCCGCGGGGTGCCCGTGCCGTCGCAGGGGGCGCCGCCGCGCCCCGGCCCGGCGGGCCCCTGGCCCGCTCCGCGCCCCACGCCACTGCGCCGCCGCGCGCTTCCTCCGCGGCGGGCGGCCTCCGCCGGGCGCCCGCGGGCGGGCCGTGGGCGGGCGGCCGAGCGACGAGCGGGGCGGCGGCGGAGCGTCGAGCTCGCCGCGCGACCCCACGAGATACGCCACCGCCGCCTCCCGCACCCCCGCCCTCGCCCAGGAAGGGGAGAGGGAGAGGAGGGCAGAGGAGCAGCAGGAGCAGGAGCAGCACCGGTGGTCCGACGATGTGCCTCTGCCCAGCGACGCGGCCAGGCCACCCGCCAAAGAGGAGGACGGCGGACCGGGCGGAGAGCAGAGGGAGGGAGGGATCCTGACCTTCCAGAGAGCTATTTTTTAGCACTGGAAACCTAAAAACCTAAAAAACGAGACGAAACAGCCTAAAACCAAGACGTAAAATAGCTCTGGGATAGGTTTTTACGTCGGGTGCTATTTTTTAGCCCTCCTGGAAGGTCAGGGGAGGAGGCACCGACGTGGCGGTGGCGAAAAACTCTTGGGGCCCCCACTCGAGGGGCTCCGAGGCCGAGGGCACGGCCGCGGTCGAGGGCGGGAGGGGCCCCGTGGGGCGATGGGGGAGGCCAGGGCTCTGGCGCGTGGGCGCCAGGCCCGCGGCTCGGGGCGCGTGCCCCCCCAGAAGCGTGGCGCACGTGGCGCCTCGCGCGCGGCGGCGGAGAGCGCGCCGACGCGGCACGAAAAGCGCGAGTCTGGTCGCTGCTCCGCGCGCACGGGTCCATGCTGTCGTCGCCTCTTGCTGCCCTCTGCTCTCCTGCTTCCTGCGTCCCCCTGTCGTCGCCTCGCTCGGTGCCGCTTGGCAGCACCCCTCTTCCTTCCTCGCGGCACTCGGCGCCCTCTTCCCCGTTCGCGTGCGGGTGGCCCGAGCAGGCAGGGCCCTCGAGGTGCGCAGCTTGCGCTTCCTCGACGCCGGCCGCAGCCGTGCCCTCTCTCGCGAGCGGCGGGCCCCCCTCCCCCCGGGGACCGGCCCTTCCCCGGGGCCGGCGGCGCGAGGATGGGGGCCAGGGAGATGGAGTCCTAGAAGGACGAGGTGCCTCGAATGGTATCCACCCGCCCTTGGACCCCTTCCTCCCATCCTCAGGATCCCATCCCTCAGGACCCCGTCTTTGACACACCGGTCCTTGACCAGTTTTGGATGGCCCCTTGGGCCAGGGACGGCCCCCGGGTGCGAAGACTGTGCGCAGGCCTCCTGGGCGAGAGACAAATTCCGCGACGCTGGAAATCTGGGTTGTGCGGCGAGGCCCCGATAAACCGTGGAAACGGAGACAGGAGGAAGAGGGAGGAGGGAGGGGGGAGAAGAGGAGAGGACAGGATGAGGTAAGAGGCGCGAAGGAGACAAGAGAAAGGGTAAGATAGATGAAAAGGGGGGGAAGAAGAGGAGGGTGGGGAAGTGGGAGGAGATGGACTAGAGAATCTGAGGCGAGATGGGCGGTTGGAGGAGGGGAGAGGCTGGAGGGTTCGATAGGTTGGATGATGGGGGGAGGGAGGAGAGAGGTTGGAGTTGGAGGAATGAGGAGACAGACGACGAGAAGGAGGAGGAGGAGGAGGAGGAGGAGAAGGAGGAGGAGGAGAAGGAGGAGGAGGAGAAGGAGGAGGAGGAGGAGGAGGAGGACGAGAAGGAGGAGGAGAAGGAGGAGGAGGAGGAGAAGGAGGATCAACTGCAGGAGATGAGGGAGGAGGGACGGGAGGCGACGCGAGATAACGGGCCCAGGACAGTGGGGGCAGAGAACAAGGGGGGAGGAGGCAGAAGAACTCGACTTGACGACTCGGCTTCATTCACTGTCCACACGCAGGATCCCCCTCACTAACGGGCCCCACGGCGCGTGCTGCAGAATAACATAATGGACGGAGACGTGCTCAAAGAGTGAGGAGAAAGGAAAGGAAGAGGATTCTGATACAAGTATGTGTTTGATATCTTACGTGCTGCTGTGGCAATCCAGAAACACGCGGAGACCCCATGAGACATCTAGGGAGGGAGGAAGGCAGGTTGGGAAGGACAAGCCTGAGACGAGAGGGGAGATCGCTCCCCTTTCATCTCAGACTTGCCAACCTTTTTCCGACTCAATCGAGCGGCGGAACGATCACAGATGAGTGGAAATTTGAACCTGTTGCCGAGTGTTGGACGGCTACCTTACCAGTGTGGGGTCGCACCGTCGTCACCACGTCTGCTTCTGAGCCCCGGTGACAACGTCATGAGCTCGCGCCAGTGGGCGCCAGCCAGCAGCAGACCAGGTGCTCGCGGAATCCGTCCTCCAGACCTCTCACACTGCAGGTCTGGGCGCCACTCCCGGGGGCAGCGCCTTCAAGGAGCCAACCTAGGAGGAGGAGGAGGAGGAGGAGGAGGAGGAGGAGGAGGAGGAGGAGGAGAGGAGGAGAGGAGGAGGGAGGGAGAGGAGGGAGGAGGAGGAGGAGGAGTGAGGAGGAGGAGGAGGGAGGAGGTAGGAGGAGGAGGAGGAGGAGGAGGAGGAGGAGGAGGAGGAGGAGGAGGAGGAGCAGGTGGTGCGCGTGCAGTTCTTGCGCAGCGCGCGCCGTGCTGCTCCCACGCCGCCTCCCCCTGCGTCGGCGGAGCGCGCAGACCAACCAGCGGCCGCTCCGTCGGAAGCTCGGCACCGCCTGGCCCCCCTGCCCTTTGCGCCCACCCGCCTCCAACGCTCGGCCAAAAAGGCCATATTCACACAAGATCATATACAACTAAGGGGCCGCCCACCCGCCGTCTCGCACATAGGCGACTGCACCGCCCCTGCTCTCGGCGACGGCACCGCCCCTACTCCCGCCTCCAACAGCCCCGGTCTCCCCTCCCTCGGCTGCCGCCCCCCGCCCCTCCCGTTCCATCGGCGCCTCTCCACCTTACTCTCCGGAGGTCCCCTGCGACACCCTATCTCCCTCCTCCTCCTCCTCCTCCTCCTCCTCCCCCCTCCTCCTCCTGGTCGTCGTCGTCGTCGTCGTGGTCGTCATCGTCCTTCTCTCTTTCCCCCCCTACCCCTGCCCCCTCGAAAGAGGACGAAACGAAAGCGGACGAAATGAAAGTCCACGCCCACACCCCCCACTCGCCTCCTTTTCCCCTCCGCGCACTGGCAGACCCCCCCCCTTCCAATCCTCCCCTCCCTTCTCCCTTGTCCCCCTCTCCCCCTCCATCCCTCCCTCCCTCCCCCCCTCCTCCCTCGCACCCCTCCTCCCCTCCTCCCCCTCCCCTCCCCTCCCACCCCTTCCCTCACGACCGCTCCCTGGCTGCGCGCACCTGGCGCGCCGCAGCCGAGCCTCTCCGTCGCGCGCCCCCTCCCCTCGCCGCCGCCCTCCCGCCGCAGGGGGAGGCCCCCCCGCTGCCCTGCCCCCCCCCCCCGACCCTGCCTGCGGCGGATCGCTCCCCGATCCCCCGAATGGCCGGCGCGGCGCCCTGCCCCCCCCCCCCCGGGCACGCCTGGGCCCCGGGTGCCGGCAGGGCCCTCCTGCCGACGGGGAGCCCGCTGGCCCGCGGGGGCCAAGAGGAGGCAGGACCCATCGCGAGGCGAGTCGTTCACATGGCTGCGCGAGGCGCTCCGTTCCCCCCCCCCTTTTCTTCGCGTAGTGCCTCCCAGGGGGTTGCCAGCTGCGCGCTCTGCTGCCCACGCGCCCCTCGAGATGCTTGGCTGTGGTGGTGTGGCGGCGAGCCGCGTGTTCAGACTGGCTGAGCACGTTAGGCCAGAGGCCCATATCGGGCCCCAGGGAGGTCATGGCGGTGAGCTGCCAAGCCCGCGCGGAGGGCGTCCTGGTTGTCCCCAGCTGCTGCCGCCGCTGCCGCTTCGACTCGCCCTCGAGCCACCTTTGCCTTCACATCCCTCCCCCATCCCTGCTCGTCTCTCTTCCTCTCCCTCCTCTCCTCCTCATATCTTCGCGGGGGTGCGGGAGGCGACATGAGCAGCAGTGCGGCAAGGGAGGCGGGAGGGGGAGGGAGAGGAGGAGGAAGGAGGGAGGGAGGGAGTGAGGGAGGGAGGGAGGGAGGGAGGCGGAGGAGGAGGAGGAGGAGGAGGAGGAGGAGGAGGAGGAGGATTAAGATTCAGATCGGGCAGAGAAAGTTAGCCCAAACTCATCATACAGATGCAGGGCAATAATGCAAGGCCCTAGGACATGGACGCTGACACAGCTGCAGCGGCGCGGGACCAACAACCCTGGGACCCATGGCTACGCAAGCGTGGGACGAAGGGGCAAGGATACAAGAGTGCCCCTGAATAAGTACTCCATCCATACTGTCGGCTCTGGACAGTCTCGGCAGGATGAGGTTTCCGGAGGTCCCAAAGATCTCCAAAGGTTTTTGCATGGAGGTCCATGGAGGTCTCGGGGGGTCTCCGGAGCTGAAAGCCTCTAGGGGCCTGGAGGCCTAAAGAGGGCCAGGAACGAGGAGGAGGAGGAGGAGGAGGAGGAGGCGGACCAGGACGAAGGCGCCACCCATGATTAAGGAGACGAGAACCGTCCGCAGCTTCGAAGCTCGGAAGGAGAGAGACATGACAAATTTTCCCATTGTCCTCCTCGTCTTCTCCTCCTCCTCCTCCTCCTCCTCCTCCTGCTGCTGCTGCTGTTGCAACTGTTGTTTTTCCTCCTTCTCTTTCTGCTCCTCCTCTTCCTCCTGCTCCTCCTCGACATCATCATCATCATCATCATCATCATCATCATCAGCATCGTCATCATCATCATCATCATCATCATCATCATCATCATCATCATCATCATCATCATCATCATCATCATCATCATCATCATCATCATCATCATCATCATCATCATCATCATCATCATCATCATCATCATCATCATCATCATCATCATCATCATCATCATCATCATCATCATCATCATCATCGTCATCATCGTCAACAGCACGATCAACAACAATACCATCAGCGTGATCATCATCATCATCATCATCATCATCATCATCAACATCATCATCATCATCACCACCATCACCATCATCAGCATCATCCCCATCATCATCATCATCATCGTCATCATCATCATCATCAGCATCATCATCAGCATCATCATCATCGTTCCTCCCTTGTCCTCCTTTCTCCTCCTCCTGCTCCTCCTCCTCCGCCTCCTCCTCCGCCTCCTCATGTCCAGAAACCGGAGGCCGAAGCGGGAGGAAGGTGAGAGACAAGCCTCGGGTAGCAGTGCTTCGACCAGCCGCACGTGCACGCGGGGTTCACCGCGCACCCGACGAGGTCGCCTCGCCCAGGACGGAATCTCCTCCTCCTCCTCCTCCTCCTCCTCCTCCTCCTCCTCCTCCTCCTCCTCCTCCTCCTCCTCCTCCTCCTCCTCCTCCCCTCCTCCCATTCCTCCTCCTCCTCCTCGTTCGATACTGCGTTCCTCCTCCTCCGCGTCCTCGTCATCGTCATCCACATCGACATCGACGTCGTCATCATCATCGCCTTTCGCGTCATCGTCACTATCACCGTCACTATTAGCATCCTCATCATCATCATCACCACCACTATCGTCATCATCATCATCATCATCATCATCATCATCATCATCATCATCATCATCATGATCATCATCATCATCATCAACAACATCATGGTCATCATCATCCGCATGATCAGCAGCAGCAGCAGCAAGGATTGGATAACGCCTGCTGGACCTGCGCGTAGACGGCGGCCTGCTCAGCCGTGCCCTCGTCTCCGAGCTCGCCGCCGCGCCCAAGGGGGGCCAAGGCGCCCGTCGCCGGGCGTTTACGGGGGGGCGACAGCAGGTCCACCAGCGCGCCGCTGTAATTCCTGTTGCCATCGAAGAACTGCTGCTGCATCGCGCCGTAGAGCGCCTTCTGCTCGGCCGCGCCCACGCTGCTCAGCTCGCCAGCGCGCCCTTCGGCAGCGGCCGCAGGTGGCCTTGCTGGGCCACTCGAGGAAGCCGCGTCGCCCCCGGAGCCGCCCACTGGCGGGGGCGCGAGCTCTGGCTGAGCCCTGCGCGCGGACTGTCCGAAGAGCGAGGTCCCGCGGGTGGTCGACGCCGCGAGCACTTGTTCGCCGCGTATCAAGCGTTTGGATATTCAAGGGCACCTCAGTCTTCTCCTTGAAGTCGGACGGGCAATTGTTCTGCGACGTCGGGTCTTCCTCGCGCTCGCCGAAGTACGCGCGTGTCTCGGGCGAGTAATTGAAGAGGTCGTGATTTGACTTCTTGCTGCATGGGTAGGAAGGCGCGACGCCGCCCTCTGGAAACATGCCACGCGGACCTGCGCGCGCGCGTCCGCGGTCGCGACGACGCGGGCCCTCGCGAGCAGGGGCTGCGCGCCCTCCTCTGATCTGCTTCAGGGAGGTCGGGGTAAGAGCAATGAGCTTCTGCAGCGCGATCTCCATAACTCCCCCTCGGCGCCGGTCTGCCACCAACCGCTTCTCCAAAGCATTGTCGCAACTGTTAATTCACGGCTTGGCGCGAGGCCCGTGGAGCGAGCGCGCCGGGCCCCCGTCTGACCCGCAGGGCGGGGCCCTCCTCGCTCGGGTTGAGGGGGGGGCCCAACGCGGACGCGCCCAGCTTTCGCAGGCCCCCGTCGTCGAACACCGCCGCCCTCTCCGCGGCTCGCCCTTGCAGAAATCAAAACGTTTGGCGGCGACCGCGGCGGGCTCGATCGCCCCCCGCCCACCCCGCCCCACCCCGCCCCCCCGACCCGCCCCGCCCCGCCCCACCCCGCGCCATCGCCCGCGAGGGCGTCGATCTCGAGCGCGGACATCGGGAACGCAATGGCCTTCGACGCCGTCGACTTCCCCACCCTGGCCTCGCCGATCCAACGCGCGCCGCCACGGCGAAGCGTTGGCAAGATCTCCACAAACACCTCGCTGATGAACCGCAGCTCGAAGTCCTTCAGCGCGAGCGCCCAGACAGAGAGGCGCTCGGCGTGGACGCGCCCGTTCGCACGATTCCGCGACGCGTGGATCACGCGGGCCCCCCCCCCACCGCAGGGAGTTTCGACCGCGGTCTCCTGGTGGCGGGGGGGCAGCGGCGCCAGCTGGCAGCCGCAATCGGCAGCCACGAGGCCCCCGCGGTCGGGGGTGGGGGGTGGGGCGGGGCGCCATGGGGCTAACCAGATGGCGCCGCGCCCCCCTGCCCTACTGCCTCTGCCAGCGAACTCCATGAACTGGTAGCGGTTGTTGCTCTTCGGGCCCTTCATCTCGACGTAGCGAATCCCCTCCTATTTCTCGCCCCATTTGGTCGAACGCTTGGTCGGCTTCGCCGCGGCGGCGAGCGTGGAAAAGCGAATCTGCAAGAGGTCCTCCAGGAGATAACAATGCGCATTGCGGCCCGCCCTGCGCTGACTCCCATGCTGATACACGACGCCCGTGCAATGGCACATGGGCTCGCGTTTGGCCATCTTCAGGCACTGGCCTTCCAGGTCAACGCCCTTGAAGATGCGCCCGACGAAGCCGTCAAAAAAATGACGAGGCCGAGACTGCGTTCTGACGAGGCCTCCCGCTGCAGACATCTCACGAAACTCCTCCTCGTCAAAATCCGAGGCGCGGTCGTCAAAAAAGATGGCGAACCCGAGTCCTGGCAAACCCGGGTCTTACGCCCCCCCGATACAGATTCGGGTGAGACACTCCAATGCGCCGAACTTGGCGTAACACTTCGGCGGCCCTGAGCTGGAAGCCGCCGCCCACGTCAGCCTCCCAGCGCACCCACGGCGTGCGCCCTGACATCCCGGAGGCGGGCGACGAAGAGGCGGCGCCATCGGCACCGCGGTCATCGCTTGATCAAGGCAACTCGCCTGGTCATGGTTTGTGGATGGGCTGGCAGGGGGCGCATTTGATCGCGACCGCGAGCGGGCACCCGCGCGGCGTCAAACAGTCGAACGGGAAAGGCCGCTACACTGGGCCGGCTACACGGCGCCAGGAAGGAAGCAGGAGGGGGCGAAACGACGAAGAACGCAAAGAGCAAGAGACGACGGCGAGAGGGCCGAGGGAGCGGGAAGAAAAACAAAAAAAAAAACAGCTCAGAAGAGGAACGAAAAGGGGGTCATCCTGAACTTGCTGTACTCCATGTGCTTGCCGTAAGCGGGAAACATATGACCTCAAAACCAAACCAGTCATCATATGCAAATGCCTCGTAATGACCAGGTGACTGTAGAGCCCAGGAGTGGACAACGGCAGCGCGAGCAAGTGGAAGCCCGACAGCGCCCTCGCTGAGAACCGAGTCGCAGTGCCCACGGCAGAGGTGGTGGGGATACGCGAAGAATCAACAATTCAACCTACGGCTTTCCTCGTCTCCTTTGTTGCTTGAGGAGACCGCTCGGCGAAACTGCGTCCTGCCGGCCAGAGGCTCACATCTAGAATGTACCAGGGTACAAACGTGCCGACAATTAAGTCAAGCTTGCAAAACTGGCACCGTGTTTGTCAGACAATTGAGTGTCAGCATGCATGTTGGGCCGCCCCCTCCTCGGGGCGCGCACCCCAAAAAAATCGCTACTCTTTGAGATTGCTTTCCGGTGTCCTTTTCGGCACCTTCTTTGGGCCCTCTTGGAAACATGTTGGGCAATATTGGAACCGCATAGCGTTCCTCTTGGGCCGTCGTGGACAGACACCCTGAGGAACACAAGCGCAAATATGCGAAGCTCATGCAAGAACCTATGGCAAATCAGCAACTCTTGGCATCTGGAGACGCTCTGGGTGATATTTGGTGGTCCCCAAACGTGGTGGTGAGAGCACCTGGTGGTGAGTTTTGGGCGATTTGGGTAATGGTTTTCGAGCGCTGGCTGGCCCAAGAAACGCAAAACCTCGTGGCGACCGCGTGTCCCCAAACCCGGTGGTGACCCAGAATTGTTTTTTGGGGGGAATCGGGGTCACCACCGGGTGTCCCACCACCTGGTTTGGAGACCACCAAGATATCCAGGCTCCCCGAGCCCGTCAGGGGGGCTGTTTGAACTGTCTTGAGCCATCTTGAGAACTGGGGCAGCTGTTTGAACAGCTGTTTGAGATATTTGAACTGGCTCTTTGAACTGTTGGCCGAGATGAGTCCCCCTCTGGATCTCCCCAGGAGGGGGGCTGTTTGAACTGTTTGAACAGCTGTTTGAGCTGTCTTGAGCCATCTCGAGGATGTTCGAACAGCTCTTGGGAACTGCTGGGCACCCGTTCGCGCCGCACCGGAATGGCTCTGGGCGGCCGGGGGGAGGGGTCGGGGAGGCCGCGGAGGGGGGTGCATCTCGGTGGGTGTTCCGGTCGCGGGCCTGGGCTCATTGTATCCCAGCTCTCGAATATATCTATCTATCTATCGATCTGTCTATCTATCTAACTATATAGCTGTATACGTATATATATACACATATGTGTATATATATATATATATACATATATACGTGTAAATAGGTGTATATATATATATATGTGTGCGTCTGTGTAAAGATGCATGTACATATATCTATATGTGTTGTCAATGTATGCACAGGAAGGCGGGGGGGCATCCGAAATTATACGTGTGTCTAGCTGTGTATATATGTATATGTGTGTGCGTAGAGCGCATATTAGATGGATTGCTACTATACATTAGATGGCACATTATATACATAATGTACATACATAGGTACATGGATACACACATACACACATGCATACATTTATTAACACATACATGCATACACAGATGCATCGCAATATACATATACGTCTGCGTATACATACACGTTTACATGTATAACAAACATATACAAATACATATGCATCTATACACTTACATACATACGCACATGCATGCATGCATACGTACACATACACACATACATACATGCATGCATGCATTCATACATACATACAGGCATCCATGCATATATACAGGCATACATGCATGCATACATGCATGCATGCAGGCATGCATGCGTGCACTCATGCAAGCACATATCGATACGTGCATGCATGCATGCATACGACATACGTGCATACAAGCATGCATACATGCATGCACACATATGTGCCTGTATACATTCACACATACGTGAACGCATGCCCATTTACTCGTACATACATACATACTTGCATACATACATGCATACACACATGCACACATGCCACTATACATACATACATACATACATACATACATACATGCATGCATGCATGCATGCATGCATGCATACATACACACAACCACGAATACATACACACATACGTACATTCACACATACACACATGTATATATATATATATATGTGTATATACATACATGCATACCTACACATGTACGTACATACAGACATTCAGACATCCAGACAGACAGACAGACACCTGATGCATACATACAGACGAACAGACAGACATGTGTATGTATATGAGTGTATGCATGTGTGTATCAGGGGCCCTCCCTAAGCGCCTCGGGAGAGTCCCTGGAGGCGCGGCGCCATGTGTTGGCGCTCTCTTGGAGGCGTCTGGGGACTTCTTGGGGCGGTCTTGGAGCCTTCTGGGGCTTTTCTGGAGCGTGGCGAAGCCGATTTGGCGAGAGCTCGAACATCATTCAAAACATCAAACATATCAGTGAATTTTGGCTCTTGGGCTAGTCTGGGGAGCGCTCGTGGTGGTATATCGGGGGAGGCCTCTGGGAACGCCAATCTTGGGGGCCTCTGGGGCCGCCTTGGAGGCCTCCGAGGCTCTCTTGGGGGACTCTTGGGGTGTCTTGGGGCCCTCTTGGGGGTGTTGAGGCGATCTCGGATGCCTCTTGGGCCGCCTTGGAGCGTCAGAAAGCCCGAAAAAGGGTGACGCCCAAATCCTTGACAACTTTGAAAAGCAATGATTGCGGCCTCGCTTGTGGGGCCTCTTGGGGATCTCGTTGGGGCCTCTCGGGGGGGCCTCTTGGGGGCTTCCTTGGGGGCCTCTTAGAGCTTTCGGGGCCGAGGGCTCGAAATGTCCGTTCGGAACCCTCGTCTGGACCCCATCTTGGAGCCGTCTTGGGAGCCTCTGGGGCCGTCTTGAATGCCTCTTGGGCAGTCGTGGGGCCCCTCGGGGCGTCTTGGAGCCCTCTTGGGGACCTGTTGGGCAGTTTTTGGGGCGTCCTCGAAGGCCTCTCAGGCCGCCCAGGAGCGTCGAGAAGCCAAACAGGCGAGATAACCAAAATGATTCAAAAAGCATTGGCAAATCGATGAATGCTGCATCTTTCAGTACTCTTGGGAGGCCTCGTGGAGGCCTCTTGGGGCGTCTTGGAGGTCTCTTGGGCGGTCTGGGAAGAGCATCACTCAGAAACGTGAGGAAGACCAGTGAGTGATGTTTAGCTCTTTTCGGGTGTCTGGGGAGCGCTCGTGGAGGTAAATTGGGGCGTCCTAAAGGCGGCCTCGGGGACCATGTTTTTTGCTTAACGCGCATTCATCTGGCCGGCCCGAGCCTGGCACGCAAGAAAATCAAATGGCGCGAGCATCGGAGCGTCGGAGGTGACCACATGTGAGCCACCAGCCCGACATGCGCTGCTGCTGTAAAGGGCCGGCTGAGCATGCTGTGCCGGCACACGCAGCGCAACGGATCCGTCACACAGCTCGCGACCCGAGGTGCCGCGGCGGGGACCGGGCCGACACCCCGGCAGCCAGAGTGGGAGAGCCTCCGGAGGGCAGAGGCGAGCGGCGCCAGCGACCCGCGGGCCGCCCGCGCCTCCTATACGCACCGCTGAAAACCCCAGACCGCGCAGGGACTTTGCACTGCGCGCCTCTCCGTGGGAGGGGCGGGGAGGAGGAGGGGGAGGAGGGGCAGGAAGGATGACCCAGGGAAGGAAGGGGGAGGAAGGGGGGAGGAGGAGAGGGAGGAGAAGGGGGGGGGGGAGGAGGGAGGAGGAGGAGGAGGAGGAGGAGGGAGGAGGAGGAGGAGGAGGAAGGGGGAGGAGGAGAGGGAGGAGGAATGGGGGGGGGGGGGGGAGAGGAGGAGGGAGGAGGAGGAGTAGGGAGGAGGAGAGGAGGAGGAGGAGGAGGAGGAGGAGGAGGAGGAGGAGGAGGAGGAGGAGGAGGAGGAGGAGGAGAAGGAGGGAGGAGGAGGAGGAGGAGGGAGGAGGAAGGGAGGAGGAGGGGGAGGGGACAACTGGCATGGCAAACGAAAAACACACGCACAACGCCGAGCCCGGACCTGCCCGCCCTGGCCAGCGCCGAGCCGTGCCGCCCGCGCTCTCGCCCCGGGCGGGCTCGGCCTCGCGGCGGCTCGGCGCGCCGGGGCGGAGCTCTCCCGAGCCATAGGGCGGCCGCCGGATCACCGCGCCGGGGCGGGCGCCCCGCGCCCCTTGCGGGCGGCGCCGGCGATGCGGGGGAGGCCGGGGCTCTGTCCCTTGAGGTCGGGGGTGCGCTCCGGGGCGTCGGCCCGGAGGGGCCGAGAGGCATCGCGTGGGCCGTCGCTCAGAGCCTCCTGGGGCTCCCGGCAGCTGCCGCTTGTTCCCTTGGGCATGCTCCTGGGCAGCCACTTGGCCGCAGCCCCCACGGCGTCCAATATCATGAGCACGTTGAAGAGGGTCATCAGTGCAGCCGCAGCACATCCGCCGCAGAAGAACCTCAGGTTGCCATCCGCCCAGATCTTGTTCAGTGCAGAGTAGACTTGTGGAAACCAAACGTAGCCGCGGGTGTATAGAATGGTTGTGGCCTGCAGGGCAACGATGAACTTGAACTGGCAGCAGTCAGGAAACTTCGTTAAGTCCAGCGTGAACTTGTAGGATCCCGAGGTGAAGCAGATGCCACCCGCGAGTAGCAGCGACATCGCAATAGCGTGAAAGGACGCGAGATCTGGATAGAGCAACAGCAGTGGGCAGACTGTGACCAACGCCAGCGTATGGTGAAGCACGCCAAGGACGATGAACATCTGCAGGGGGCCTTTCTCAACTCCACCGAACAGCTTCTTCCCCACCGACTCGAACAGAAACGTATTGGCGAACATCCTGACCCAATCGTAGACATTCAAGGCGACATCCATCAAAACAGCTACCACGAAACAAGCCTGGCTGGTGCTCCGCGATTCTGTCCAGCCGTAGGCCACCACAGGCACCATCATCAAACCACAGATCAGATGGTGAGTGCAGAGTATGATGACGTACGAATAGTATTGCCGCAGCGTGAAGTCGTCGCACGCTGCCTCGGGCACGCCGAAATTCAACATGAGTGATTTCTGCAGCGGACGCGCGCGTGGCCACCACTCCTTCGTCGCAACCCACGGCGTGAGAGACTTCAGAATGGTCTCGAAGACGATGCCGGTGACCAGCGCGCTGGCGGCCACGAACAGCACCATCCCCTGCGGCTGCAGCAAGAACTCCAGGATCGTCCCTGGCAGCGCCATGGCCGATGAAGGAGACTCGGAATAGCGGGCGCGATCAAGCAAGACACTGCCGAACTTCCGAGTTCAAGCAGCTTGGGCCAGAGGCTTGAGCCCAAAATAGCTACGGGCCTCGGGGACCGCCGTCTTGAGGGCCTCGGGGGCCGCCCTGGAGACGTCTAGGGGGGACTCTTGGGGGTGGGCCTCTGCGGCCGCCTGGGAGGCGTCTGGGGCCCTCTCTGGGGGACTCTCGGAGTGTCTTTGGGGCCCTCTTGGGGGGCTGCTTGGGGGCTTCCTGGGCAGGTTTGGGGCGACCTTGGAGGCCTCGTGGGCCGCCTTGGAGCGTCGGAAAGCCCAAAAGGCAATGACTCACAAATCATTCCAACCCTGAAAATCGATGGATGCTACGTCTTCGGGAGGCATATGGGGGGCCTGCATCAGCAGCATCGAATCGATAAGCCGGATCGGGTCGACCGAGGCATCGAATCGGCAGGAATCGGCAGAAATCGGCTGCCAAGTCGAAATCGGCAGGAATCGGCAGGGCCGAGTCGGATCGAGTCGGAAACCGGATCCCGTCAAGCCGGATCGAAATCGAAATCGGAAGGCTGGGAGGGAAGACGTCGTCGCACGTTATCGCACGTCGTCGCGAACGTCGTTGCATGCATTTTCGTCGCTCTCCGTCGCACGTCATCGTAAACGTCGCACGCGCGTCGTTGCAAAGGGCCCCAAGGGACCCCCAGCGGACCGTGGCATGGACCCCCCGTCTGTGGGACAGACCCCCACGTCTGTGGGACAGACCGCCCCCCGTCTGTGGGACAGACCCCCCCGTCTGTGGGGCAGACCCTCCCGTCTGTGGACCGACCCCCACGTCTGTGGACAGACCCCCCCGTCTGTGGACAGACCCCCCCCGTCTGTGGACAGACCCCTACGTCTGTGGACAGACCCCTACGTCTGTGGACAGACCCCTACGTCTGTGACAGACCCCTACGTCTGTGGGACAGAGACCCCCCCCCGTCTGTGGGACAGACCCCCCCCCGTCTGTGACAGACCCCTACGTCTGTGACAGACCCCTACGTCTGTGACAGACCGCTCCCCCCCGTCTGTGGGACAGACCCCCCCCCGTCTGTGACAGACCCCACGTCTGTGACAGACCCCCCCCCGTCTGGGGCAGACCCCCCCCCCCGTCTGTGGGACAGACCCCCCCCCGTCTGTGGGGCAGACCCGCCCCCCCGTCTGTGGGGCGCAGACCCCCCCCCCCCGTCTGTGGGACAGACCCCCCGAGGACCCAGGACTCCCCCCTCCCCGGTCTGTGGGACGGACCCCCCGGACCGTGGGACGGACCCCCTGGACCGCGGGACGGACCGTTCGGGCAAACATTTCGAGGAGGACGCAGCTGTGGCCACGAGGAAAGCGCCCGTCCGTGGCCCCAGGGCGCTCCAGGACGCACGTGAGCACCTGGCTGCCCCTCCTCCTCCTCCTCCTCCTCCTCCTCCTCCTCCTCCTCCTCCTCCTCCTCCTCCTCCTCCCCCTCCTCCCCCTCCTCCTCCTCCGCCTTTTCTAAACCATCCAAGAGCCAGAGCGAAGCCGGATCGGCAGGAAATCGGCAGAAGTCGGCAGACGCATCGAATCGGCAGGAGTCGGATCGGGCGAACTCGAAATCGGAATCGCGAATCGGAATGTTCGCATCGAGTCGGATCGAGTCGGAACCCTGGGAAATCGTTTCGAATCGGCCCGGAGGAGTCGGAAAGCGCCCTGGGGGGGGCCTCTTGGAGGCCTCTTCTCTTGTAGTCTCTTGGGAGCCTCCTGGGGGCCTCTTGGGGAGCCTCTCGAGGCCGAGGGCTCGAACTGTCCGTTCACGTCTCCCGTCTGGGCCCCCTCTTGTAGCCGGCTTGTGGGCCCCTGGGCCGTCTTGGAGGCTCCTTAGGCCGTCCGAAGGCCGTCTTGGGTCATTTGGGGCCCTCTCGAAGGCTTCTTCAGTTGTCTTTGGACGATCTTGTCAGTTGTCTTTGGACGATATTGGGCGCCTTTTCAGCCGTCTTGGAGCGTCGGGAGGCCGGAAAGGCGAGAACGCCAAAATCCGTCAAAAACTTATGAACATCCACGAATGTTGTATCTTGAGGCCCTCTCGGGAGTGCTCTTGGAGGCCTCTTGGGGCGTCTTCGAAGCTTCTTTGGCCGTCTGGAGGCCATCTTGGGCGTCTTGGCGCGATCTTTGGGCGTCTCGGGGCCCTCTTGGAGCGTCTGGGGACTCTTTTGGCGCTTTATGGTGGCGCTTTGTCGGCGTCAGGGGCCCCCCCAAGCGCCCCAGCACACACATTTGTGGTCGGGATGACGACAGGAAGGGGGTGCTTCAGAACCGCTCCGGTTGAGACAGAGTATTGAAGTAGAGCGGGTCTGAAACGCAACATGTTCTTTCCTCCATGTTGCGTTGCTGCGCTGGTATTATCATGGAGTTTGTCGCAAGCAGCTGGAAACAAGCAAAATCGACCATCCGCGCGAACGCCTAAAGGACCTTACCATTATGAAAGAGCCAGTCGCTCTCCTCCTTCTCCTCCTCGCTCTTCTGATCCTCCTCGTGCGTTCTCCTCCTCCTCCTCCTCCGCCTCCTCCTCCTCGTCCCCCATCCCTCTCATCCTACTCATACAATCGACCAGGATAGTAAGGATGTGCGGTAAAGATGCAAGGGCCTTGGAACGCCATGTTGACGTTTTCCGTGCGGAGTGCAGCTGAATGTTGAAGGATGCCGAATACCCAAGGGGCAAGGATGCAAGGGTAGCCTTGGAAAGTTGACCCATCTTTACTATCATGGTTGACTGTACCTCCTCGCTCCCTCATCCTCCTCCTCCTCCTGCTCCTGCTCCTGCTCCTGCTCCTCCTCCTCCTCCTCCTAGTCTTTCCCCTCCCTCTCATCCTACTCAGACCTCCTCGCTCCCTCATCCTGGTCCGCCACCGCCCCGCTGTCCTCCGCGAATGAAGCAGCCATCGCTGCTGATCTCGCGGTCCTGAGAGGGGCGCGGGAGGAGCTGCGAGGAGGAGAGGCGAGTCAAGTGACGAGGGGAGGGCGGCAAGGAAGCATGTAACCCCCAAGTGCTTCTTGCGCGAGCTCGGGCTGCTTGCACGAGAACGAGGGGGATGGAGGGGGGGAAAAGAGAGAGGCAGGCAGAAAGAGAGAGAGAGAGAGGCAGAGAGATGGGGGACGCGGGGGAAAGGCGGCTGGACGGGGGGGGAGGGGAGGCGGGGAAGGGGGGGGGGGGATGACCGCCCACCCCGCCGCCTGCGCCTCCTGATCTGCTCCCCCCTCGCCACGCGCGCCCCGACCGGCGCGCCTCCAGCCGAGGCTTGCCGTCGCTCGGACGTCCATTTCCCGTGCATGTTTCGGTTTCGTGCGTGTTTTTTTGCTCGCTGGTCCAGGATGGTTCTCGATGGCTCTCGCCGGGAACAAAAAATGCACACGTCCGAGCGATGCCAAGGAGGTGGCAAACGGTGCCCCCTCGTCGGAAGCGGTCGGCCTCGCCCGCTGACCAGAGGCCTCCGCGGCTGCCCAAAGAAGGCCCCGTCGACGGGCACCCGTCCCCCGCGCGGGAGGGAGAGGGGGAGGGAGGCGGAGAAGGCAGCGAGGGGGGGAGGAAGAGACGGCGGCAGGAAGGGAGCAGGGGAGGAAGGAACGAGGAGGGGGGTTGGAAAGGAAGCACGGAGGAGTGAGCAAGGGGGCAGGGCAGAGGGCGGGGGGAAGGCCGAGAGGGGACTCCTCGCTCGGTCTTCCCGCCGCCCCCTGTCCTGCCGCAGTACTCGCTCTCCTCCTCCTCCCTTTCATTGCTCCCCATCCGTCCCTCGGGAGTATCCGTGCGCGACACCTTCGGAGTTGGACTGCGACGAGGAGCATGGAGGAATCCTCGAGATCCCACCATCCCTCTGGGCGTGGGCGGTTTGGGAACTAGTTCTTCTGACCCGACCCCCTTGCAGCCCACTCCCTACTCGGGTGCACCAGAAGTGCAGGCGAGCCGAAAGTCGAATCGATAAGTCGGATCGGCGATCGAAATGAATCGGATCGGCGGAAATCGGCACCCAAGTCGGGAGAAGTCGAATCGGCGGAGATCGGCAGGCAAGCAGGCCGCTATCGTGAACTCGGAGCCCAAATCGGAATCCGAAGTCGAATCGAATCGGAATCGGAAGCCATCGAAATCGAATCGAATCGAATCCGGGGAATCGAAAGGACCCCTGCCAGAAGTGCCCCTGGCCGCCAGCGCCCCCCCCCCCAGGGAGCCCTCCGCACTCTCCGGAGCACCCAGGAGGGCCCTGGGCTCACAACCCCACTCCTTCCCGCCCCCCCCCCTTCCTCCTCCTCCTCCTCCTCCTCCTCCTCCTCCTCCTCCTCCTCCTCCTCCTCCTCCTCCTCCGGCGACGGCGACGACGACGACGACGACGACGACGACGACGACGGCGGCGGCGGCGGCGGAGGCGACGACGACGCGACGCGCCGCGGCAAGCTCACAAGATGTGGAGCTGCTCGCGATCGAGCGAGCTCCGCACCATGCTCGAGTCCCTATACCCCCGTGGCACTTGGGGGAAGGAGCAGGGGCTCGTTGTCCCGGAGCCGAACAAGAAAGGTACAGGATTGCGGGTGCACCCACGACCCGTTCTGATTATGTGTTATTGCATCACATCTCTAAGTAAACAAACATGCTTCTTTAGCAGGGGTCCTCACATGTTGCCGGATTCGGGGCTTGGCTTGACCTGTTTCGACAGTAGTCTCACTTGAGAGCTCGCACCCAGCCTGGATTGTGGCATGACCTGGCCTGGTGTTGAGCGGGTTTCGCAGTGGATGTCCCAGCAACTTACCTTGTTTGGCGCCTGACCTGGCCTGGTTCAGGGTGGATTCTGCCCAGGGTATTCTCGCGATTTGCCTCGGTTGATGCCTGGCTTGGCCTGGTGAGGGGCGGGTTTCGTCTGGGAGGTCCTCACAACTTGTCCTGGTCAGTTGTAGGGTCCCATTCCCCATCAGTTGGTAAGCTGGCGCTTGTCATCACGTGTCTGTCTGTTTTGTGGCTTCGCTTCGCCTGGCTCGGGGCTCGACGGGTTTGGGCCCTTGCGCATTCTTGGCCTGGGGCGGGTTTCGCCCACGGCGTCCTTCAAATGTGTTCCAGGTGTGCACGTAGAGCATCGTCAAGCTTTTCCCAGCGTCAGACATGTTTCAAGGCTGGTTCTGACTCCAGTGGCCCGTTCAGGCGACTGGAACAAGGAGAGGGGTTGCGGCTTAGATTGGGGAAATAGCCTTCGACTTCCCGCGCCGATGACTGGGGGAGGGTAGGACTCCTCCTGCTCCTCCCCCGCCTCTTCCTCCGCCTGCTCCTCCTCCTCCTCCTCCTCCTCCTCATCTTTCTCCTCCTCCTCCTCCTCCTCCAACTCCACCTCCTCTTCAACTGCAAATGCTCCTCCTCCTCCTCCTCCTCCTCCGCCGCCTCCGCCTCCTCCTCCTCCTCCTCCTCCTCCTCCTCCTCCTCCTCCTCATCCTCCTCCTCCTCCTCCTCCTCCTCCTCCTCCTGCCTCCTCCTCCTCCGCTTGCAACTCCATCCCCTCGTGGGCGGGCAGCACGTGCTTCCCCACCCAGCGATGCGTGCCCGAAGCACCCCGGGCCCCCTGCGAGGCTGTGCGGGTGCGGCGGCCCGGGTCTTCGCCCTCGGCCGGCACGGCCCCGCCCAGGCCTTTCTGCAGGAGGGCGAGGCGGGGGCCCGTGCAGAGGGAAGAGGAAGAGAGGGAGGAGTTGAGCAGGGCCCGACCGTCCCGGCATCCCTGTAGTCATACCACGAAATGTTCTAGGAGAGCCCAGACATGTTCTTAAGGTTGTTAAAGCGAGACAGACTCCGCCAGGCATATTCTAAGAACATTGCGTGGGAGCCACAAAAGGTTCTTAGAACATTGTTTGGTAGGGCTATAGGCGAGCCAGGACGCTTCGCCGCTGCTTGAAGGAGAGGGAGAAATACAACCACCGACATGGACGCTGAGGATGAGGCTCGGATGGGGATGCGCTTGAAGACTCTGCAGATGAGGCGGCGTGATCGCTCTCGGGACCGCCTTGTGTTGCTGCGTCGAATGTGGACACTGCGGGCCATCACCCTACACTACAAGCGAGGGAGAGGCGGAGGAGGAGGAGAAGGACAACGACGAGAGGGCTGAGGAGGATATGTTTTGACTTATGGCCGCCCGGACGAAGCAACTGGGCCTCCCAGCCGAGTCCTGCAGCGGCGGAGGCGCCGCGGCCAGCGGCGGCGCAGCCGCGGTGCCGTTCACCGGGGCGCTCTGCGCGGAGGCGTTCTGCGAGGGGCGAGCGGGGGTCTTCCTGCCCATCCCCCAGGCCTCCCCCTCT